CGCCCACACCTCCCCGTACACCTACACCCCCTACACTTATACGCCCCCTACATCTCCCCCTACACCTACACCCCCCCCCTACACCTACATCTCTCCCTACACCTATACCCCCCTACGCCCCCACCTCCCCCTACACCCCCCCCCCCCCGCAATAACGGGCGCCCCATTACCTAGGGGGACGACATTCCATACACACGCTGGGCCCCCCGCGGGTGGTGTCGGTCACCACACATACGCCTCACACCAGGAGCCGTGGCGCAGTGGTTGCCGAGGCGAGCACGCGACCCCGTGACCTCCTTCACGTTCGATTCCCAAGTTAAGGGACAGTGCATCCGGTTTGGGGTGATGCCAGTGCCTGGTGTTAAAGGCCTCGTTACAATGACAAAGTTAATGAAGCAAAGGAAAAGTGTTTGGGGGGGGGGGTGAGGTGGAGACGGGGGGGGGGGGAAGTAACCAGAGCGGCGAGGCATCTTCCTGGCCTCTATTACGGGCTATTCATGCCCGTGCCACCTCTTGGGTGGCTTCATTAGGCAATCACTCCTCGCCTCACATTTGGCCTGTGCGAGTATCTCAAGTTGCTCTATAGTACTGTGAGGTGCTTGGCGCCCTCCTCGCCTCCCCCCCCCCCACCACCACCATACACATAGCAGCAGCAGCAGAAGCAGCAGCAGCAGGATTGTAACACCTGGTGAACCCCCTTGGCTGCTGCTGTTGTTGTTGTTGCTGTTGCAAGAGGGTGCCAAGCCGAGCCTGTACCCTGGTGTTGGTGTCAACACCTGGCACCATGCTGCCACCACCTCCCTGCTCAGTACTGCCCAGTTTGGGGCTCCTGTTGTCTAGGTTACTGGGACCACCTTGTTACCAGCGACCAACACGTCTCCTATCATCAGTGTCCGGAGAACCATCGTGGTTGTTTCCTAATTCTCTCTGTGTTGTGTCTTTTCTTGCTTTGGTATAGCTTGTGTGTGGTGGTGTTCCTGTGTTGTGTGGGATTTTTGTGATTGTGTAACACCTGAGACTCCGGTCTTCCAGTGTATGTATATGTTCTTTCATGTATTTGTGCTGGGTTATGTGTGGTGTTTCTTAGGTGTTTTGTATGTAGGCTGTTTAGTGTGTGTTGTGGTGGTGCTTCGGTACCCTTTGTTTTATTGTCTTGTATTGTATTATATTTGTGTAGTATGCCTTAACATGTAAAAAATAAAATCCAATTCAATGGTTGGAGCGGTGGCAGTACCGGTGTGAACTAGCAAGTTGAGCCAGGTGGTCACAGCCTCACCACCTGGGGGTGTGTATGTATTATAAACTCTTGTGATATTCAACACAGTATTACACTTACGTGTTGTGTTGACAAACTTGATAACCGCCTTGTGTGGAGCGCTGTTTGTGCCTCACAAGCGCTGGCCAGTTACAACACCGTGGTGACAGTGGGGGGGGGCGTGGACGGGTACCTGAGGGGGGGTGACAGGTGGTGGTGACCGAGGGAGGGGGCGTCTAAGACAGTATACTTGAAGGATAACAATGAGTTTCACCCCGGCGGCGCCCCCTATTGTGGCGCGCAAGTTCAAGGATGCTGCTGGAAGCTCTCCAAGATGTTTGTGTTTTCATTCGCCACTTGGCTGGAGAAAATCTTTGTCCAAATTCAGTTTCATTGTACTGGAGATGTGGAGTGTTCCTTGTGGTCACTCCAAGTCATCCCTGGTCAACCCTTGACACAGTCTACATGTACCCGCCCCCTCCAAAGATGTGCACTCAAACACATTCTTAGAATAACTAAAATGTATCTTGACATTTGTATTCTAAAGTTACAAATCTTGGTTCTTTCTTGGTTTTCGATTTTTCAGGTTAATGGAGTCAAAGTGTTTCAATAGATTCAAGTTAAAAATCTTGGTTTAAAAATCTTGGCTACTTGGAAGTTGTTGTTGAGAGTAGCTGAGTGTAAACAGCAATAATAACAACAACAGGGGCTGAGGGCCTCAGCTCTCCCACACTTTCCAGTATATTGGGGCAGTGATCATGTTGGTGGTGGAGACTCACGGTGTGGTGAGGACGGGCAGTGACACGCTTATAGACGGTCACCGCACTGTAAGGGTTGAGCAGGTTAATGGTCGTGTGGAGTTGGTATAATTGGTTGTATGGACGAGGCTCCGCGGCGGTAATGGGTACCTGTAGGTGTGGTGGCCCCAGGAAGTTGAGGCTAGTGGATGGCCGTCATGTGCAGTAGAGAGTTGTGTGGGGCGACAAGCGCTCTCAATGTCGTCACATTGTCCGTGTTGTTAACCTAGTTGAGGTAATGGTCACCAACCATACTTCCCCGCTCTCTCTTAATATATGGTCAGCAACGTCACCTTGTGTGTTTATCAACACTAACTCGCTACTGCTACACACAAAATACTCCTCGAGTTACAGCAAGTCTGGTGTATCTCAGTTAGGTAAAGGAATACCTCTTAGGAAGGAAGCAAAGGGTCATAGTGAGAGCGGAGTGACACAGGGGTCGGTCCTGGCGCCCACCCTCTTCCTAATACACCCCCAACCATCCTTATATGCCACTGACACCTTCCTATCAATGAACAAATCCACAAGGGCCGTGACGAGGGTTCGAACCTACGTCCAAGAGCATCCCAGACGCTGCCTTAATCAACTGCACTACGACACGGTAAAACAATTGCCTTCCTATCAATGTTTGCTGATGATAATGTGATAATAACGATAACAACAGAGATACTGATATATTTCAAGAGGAAATGTACTCTCCAAAGGTTGTCTGAAAAATGACTATTAGACCTAATTCTGAACAAATGCAAATATATCACAAATGTCTACACTGGGAACACTCGGCACACAGGTTCGAACCCTCATCAAGCCCCTTGTGGATTTGTTCATGTGATATATCACGCTATTGTTATTTGTGTGTGTAAGAGACAACTTTTGTTAGGAAGCAACATTGTAGAATGAAGAAGAGCCACATTCCTTCATCAGAATAAGAGAGCAAATTTACCCACAACAATAATACTGAAGAGTGATAAGAGCAGAACAGCGTAGGCAACATATTCCACGCTGGCTACCAGTAAGGAACTCTAACATAGTAACCTCCCGATGAACAATCTACGTGGGACACACTCAGGAGCATGCAGCTCCAGCAGCACCAGCTCTAAAGTTATGATACAACGCTCCTTCCTCAACTACGAGAAAGTCTAATGGAAGTGGATCGCACCACAGTGGAGAAGTGGTCAGGGGAGGTTATCTTGAGATGATTTCGGGGCTTTAGTGTCCCCGCGGCCCGGTCACTTCCCTTTAACATATTAAATGCCGTAATCATGTCCTCCCCATGAGTCCCTCCCATGAGGGGAGCCGTTCGGCCGAGCGGACAGCACGCTGGACTTGTGATCCTGTGGTCCCGGGTTCGATCCCAGGCGCCGGCGAGAAACAATGGGCAGAGTTTCTTTCACCCTATGCCCCTGTTACCTAGCAGTAAAACAGGTACCTGGGTGTTAGTCAGCTGTCACGGGCTGCTTCCTGGGGGTGGAGGCCTGGTCGAGGACCGGGCCGCGGGGACACTAAAGCCCCGAAATCATCTCAAGATAAGGATGCCAATACGAGAACAGAAATGCATAAGATGAACGATATCAAAAGTATCCGAGTCACCAAGAATACTATCGAGGGACAAGCGACCGCTGAGGACGGTCGGAAAACAAGAGGTGAGGAAGTTATGGAAGCCAATTGGCTGCACATCTTTAAATGTAAATGTAACAAGATAAACCGAGTTAAAAGTTACTGCTCTGATCTAATGATGGTCGAAAGGCGGGGCTTAAGAGTAGATGCTCAACCCTGCAAGCACAATTAGGTGAGTACACACACGCACTTAAGGAGTGAGTGAGACAGCGTGCTATGTTGTTGTTGTTTTAGATTCAGCTACTCAGAAGGCAAAATTGTAATTAATTTTGTCAATAAAGATGTTAATAATAAGCTACTCAGAACAAAAGTTGCAAGTAGCACGGGCTATGGCGAGCCCGTAGTGGCACAGGAGCGGTGCCGTGTAGACAGCGTGCACACGCAGCTTTAACTATAGTTATGATGCCACCTGTGAACCCGGTAACCTGTACACAAGTCGATTGGAGGTCGAGAGGCTGGACCCAAGAGCTGAAGCTCAACCTATCCAAGCCCCTGCACTTAGTAGTAACCGTTCAGGGACTTAAGTGTTTAAACCGGTATAAGTATCAGTAGGGAAGTATTAAAGCTGGTCTCTCAGTAAGGAAGTATTAAAGTTGATGTGTCAGTAAGAAAATATTAAAGCTGATATAAGTATCAGTAAGGAAGTGTTAAGGTGATGTGTGAGAGGAGGAGGGCAGGAGCCGGTCTTAACCCACCACAAGACTTGGGGCCAGATTCACGAAACAGTTACGCCAGCACTTACGAACCTGTCCATCTTTTCTCAATCTTTGGCGGCTTTGTTTACAATTATTAAACAGTTAATGAGCTCCAAAGCACCAGGCGGCTGTTTATAACAATAACAACAGTTGATTGGCAAGTTTTCATGCTTGTAAACTATTTAATAAATGTAACTAAAGTCGTCAAATATTGAGGTAAGATGTACACTAACCTGTGTGACCTGTGTAGTGTGTGGTCAATGTGTACACTAACCTGTGTGACCTGTAGTGTGTGGTCAATGTGTACACTAACCTGTGTGACCTGTAGTGTGTGGTCAATGTGTACACTAACCTGCGTGACCTGTGTAGTGTGTGGTCAATGTGTACACTAACCTGTGTGACCTGTAGTGTGTGGTCAATGTGTACACTAACCTGTGTGACCTGTAGTGTGTGGTCAAAGTGTACACTAACCTGTGTGACCTGTATAGGGTGAGGTTGAGCTGCACCTTTCCGTTATATTTCTGGTGTCATGTGTAATGGGAGACTTGTGTAGTGTGAAAAAATAATTTTAAGTTAATGGTGAAATTATTACCAACATTTCTTCTTGTTGCTAACTACATGTTTTATTTATTTCAGAAATATGCAGAGAAAGGTAAGTCCCAGAGCTGGAGCTTGCCGAGTATGAAGGTATGTACTAGCATACATGCACGCACCACACACACACACACACACACACACACACACACACACACACACACACACACACACACACACACACACACACACAGGCTCCTTGCGGCCGAGAGAACACCGTTCGGGATTCGCAGTCCACGGGGTCCGAGTTCGATTCTCGGACGAAATTCATACAAATGGACATAGTTTCTTTTACCCGATACTACTGTTCATCTAGCAATAGGTACCCGGTAGTTGGACCAGTGCCACGGGCTGCATCCTGGGGGGGGGGGTGTTAGAGAGAAATATATGTGGTGGATATGATAGAGGAAAGATAGGTCAGGAGACAGTACATTAGGCAACCCACGGATACAAAGGCGGAGTCCAACAGCTAAGACCGTGATTCTGCAAGCACAAATAGTAAATACACATTGAACGTTAGTGGATCTTAGTTATCATTAATATAGCACAAGAAGATCACCGTGGCGTGATATATCAATGAGGGGGGGGGGGTAGAAACAGCCTAAGCTACTCTATCAATTTAAGATGTATTTTTTCTTATCTCAATAAACATACTTGAACTTGATATCAATGAACAAATATTGAACTTGCTAAGATAAACATTAGGAGGAAATCATTTAAGGCAACAGAGGCGGGGGGGGGGGGGGGGGACTGGAGTGAGCCTTGTGGTGGTGGACGCTGGAGGAGCAGCACAAGGTTGTGATCACTATTGACTTAAATGATCTCAGTGTAGCGGAGGTGGTGGTAAAGCCTTGCTTATGGCACCTGGGCAGGAGGTGTGTGTTTACATGTTTACAGTCTTGGTGTAATGACCGACACACACCATACCTCCCCGCTCCCCTAATTGATTTTGAGACATTGGGTCACTAATGTTGAGTTAAATATTTTATTTTTGTATTTTTTGGAGTTAATGGTTATAGTAGGGCAGGATAAGACATTTGTGCTTTAAAGTGCTTCATACACAAATGTCTTAATTCTGAAGAGGCGGAGTTGTAATGTTCAGCGCAGACCATAGCTTCTACCCTTCCCCCTTCCCTTCCTTCCCCTTCCCTCCCCTCCCTTTCCCTCGTTCCCCTCCCCCTCCCTTGTTTCCTTTCCCTCCCCTTCCTTTCCCTTCCTTTCCCTCGTTCCCCTCCCCCTCCCTTGTTCACCCCTCCCATTTGTCACAGTCCATCCTCACTGGTCATAAGCCTTGAGTCAAGAGGTCCTCTCTTGGCCCTCTCCATTTGACACTCATTTTTCCCTCTCCCCCCCACTCCTTCCCCCCTCCCCTCTCCCCGGGCCAATAAACTGTTGTCTCAATTTTCGTTGCATGGCTGGCGTCTCCCCCCCCCCCTGGCCCGGTTTCCTGGATGTAAGTGTGGAAACGTTTGAAATTTCGATCGAGGGAAAGAGAACCTTAAGGACAGGCCTACCGCCTAGCCAGGAGCCTTGATTGGTGAAAGACAAGGAGGCCTAGGGGGGGGGGGGGGCAGGGCTAGCCAGAGTTTTGGTTGGTCTAGAGTAAGACATTGCTGTCATTGGCTCGCGTTTTGAGAGGCGGGGTTTATTGGCCCCGAGTGGACTCCTCGAATTCGTCACTGGTTATGGCAACAGGCCGGGGAGAGGGGAAGGAGTGGGGGGGGAGGGGGGGAAGGAGTGGGGGTAGAGAGGGAAAAATGAGTGTCAAATGGAGAGGGCCAAGAGAGGACCTCTTGACTCAAGGCTTATGACCAGTGAGGATGGACTGTGACAAATGGGAGGGGTGAACAAGGGAGGGGGACGAGGGAAGGGAAGGGGAAAGGGGAGGGGGAGGGGAGGGGGAGGGGAACGAGGGAAGGGAAGGGGGAAGGGTAGAAGGTATGGTCTGCGCAGATCATGACATTGTCATATATGACGTCTTCACTGTTAATGTGGCAAGATGCTCTCCCAGTCAACGGGATCTACTGAACATTTACTACATTTAGTCTTAATTTCTGATAAATATGAACTGGTTGAGAGGTGCAGGCGTGAGGGTGACAGCGCGCGCCCAGTGTTCGACCCCCGACGTTATACACACACACTTATTACCCCCACCACCTGGACCCCACCTGACCCCCCCCCCCACACACACACAGTAGGTCCATCACCTGACGTTGTAAACAACGTCAGAGTGTTAACTAACCCAGAGTGTGTGACAGACCAACACAAGACAGGACTCTGAGGAGACAACAACAATGACAGAACACTTCCCCCCATTACTGCCTCTCCCACCTAGTATGTCACATATGCACGTATTTAATAAGTCAATATTGACTGTAAGAAAGTGCGAGAACGGGTTGCCCACCTACTACAAATGTGTATAATTAACAACACAAACAACCTAATGTAGGTCCAACTATACAACAAGTTCTAATATACTGTTGAATAATATTAATTTACATTTTTGAAAATACTGATTTTGAACACACTCAGTTCGTTAAAAATTACCAATGAGTTACAGTATATTTGTATTCGTGAAATGTAGCATGATTCCCGGCCTTAACCTGGAGCAGTTCGTTGCCAGATGAAGTAGTAGAGGTGACCATGGTGAGTCTTGGGTTATCTTGAGGTTATCTTGAGATGATTTCGGGGCTTTCAGTGTCCCCGCGGCCCGGTCCTCGACCAGGCCTCCACCCCCAGGAAGCAGCCCGTGACAGCTGACTAACACCCAGGTACCTATTTTACTGCTAAGTAACAGGGGCCTAGGGTGAAAGAAACTCTGCCCATTGTTTCTCGCCGGCGCCTGGGATCGAACCCGGGACCACAGGATCACAAGTCCAGCGTGCTGTCCGCTCGCCGACCGCTCGGCTGGGTTGGCGAGGCTGTGACGGCCAGTGACAGGGAGGTGGGGTGACCTATCTCTTGTTACACCATTACCATACCAAGAGGGCGCGAGTGTGTGTGTAGGGACAACACGGCCCCGCTGCTCCTGCGTCACCGCAAATGTCACCAACTTCTCACCTTGGTCAAGGCAAATTTCAGGGATTTTTGACCTTGGTCAAGGCAAATGTCAGGGACTTTTGACCTTCAAACGCAAATGTCAGGGATTTTTGGTTTTTGCCTTGTTAAAGGCAGATGTAATATACACTTGAACTTGGTCAAGGCAGTTGGCACGAAAGTGGTATTTTGTTGGAGGTTAAGAGCACGGAACACGGCGCTTGTTCACGCATGAAGCACACTGTGAGTCACAATAGCGAGGCTGAAGGATATGATGACCAGACCACACATCACAAGATGATGAAACGGCGACGTTTCAGTCGATCTCGAACTCATTGTTGATGTGACGACTTGTATTGAATTTTGTAACTAGCTCATCAAGATTGTAACTTGCTTAGCTAAATGAATTGCGGGGTTCATTCCCTGAGCCCATTATGTGCCTCTGTAACCCTTTCCACTACCGCCCACATGATGGGTATGGGATGCATAATAAATGAACTAAACTAACTTTCAGTCCGTCGTGGACCATCATCGTTTTCTGACACAGATGAACGACTTCATAATGGTCCACAACGGACTGAAACGTCGCCGTTCCTTCATTCTCTGGTGTGTTGGTTTGGTCATCAATCATGATTGTTATTCATGTTCAAAGTTAATATTTGTGTCAAGACTTAACCAAACCTCGTAGGGGCCTCGTAGCCTGGTGGATAGCGCGCAGGACTCGTAATTCTGTGGCACGGGTTCTATTCCCGCACGAGGCAGAAACAAATGGGCAAAGTTTCTTTCACCCTGAATGCCCCTGTTACCTAGCAGTAAATAGGTACCTGGGAGTTAGTCAGCTGTCACGGGCTGCTTCCTGGGGGTGGAGGCCTGGTCGAGGACCGGGCCGCGGTGACACTAAAGCCCCGAAATCATCTCAAGATAACCTGCCAACTGACACTTAATTGTTAAACGTTGGTCAACGGTCACGTCGAACATGTCAACATTAACCAAATAAACATCATAACGAAATCTAAGTTAATATAAGTCTCCTGTGATCAAAATACGTGTAAAAGATGTGTGTAATTACGAGTTAAAGATCATTTTTAAATTGAAAATTCAAGAAATTACTTTGGGTTAATATTTGAAGGAGGCGCGGAGCCACCAGAGTGGAGGTGGGGGCGGCATCCCCCGCCTACACTGACCACTCACTAATGTCTTCTCCGGCACCTCTTTTCAGGATTTATTTTAATGTTGTATTAAATTTATAAAATTGAACTTTTTATTGATGATTCTGAGCTAATTTGGCAGAGTAATTATGTTCGTTAGTGTTAGCACTGGTGATGTTCGTTAGTGTTAGCACTGGTGATGATGTTCTGAGACGTTTGTGTTAGCACTGGTGATGTTGGATGTTCTCTGAGACGTTTGGTGGCAGTGTTAGACTGGAAGACAACAACAAAAGAGTTGGAACTTAATAAGTTGTGAGTCACGGGGCCGTTGTTATAAACAATGGTCAAGTGCTGGCTGTGTGTTTTATTGGTAAAGAGGAAGTTGACGGGTGAGTTATGGAGCATGTGGCCAGTGTCCACGAGGACGGCTGCTTCCTCTCACCTGTGTTGTCTTCCTCTGTAACACGACCACCAAACGTCTCGGAGAATATACTACATCACCAGTGCTAACACAAGCGTGTGTGTGTGTGTGTGTGTGTGTGTGTGTGTGAGGTGTGGTGGGTGGCGGGAAACAGGGAACGTTGCAGGGAACTGCAACGAACTTGAACGTGGCGTTGCAGGGAACTACTTGTAATGACTAATATCATTATTAAGAGTTTGCAACGAATTGAAGTCTGCAATTGTAGTTATAATTGTAAAAATTCAATAAAGCTCCCAAGATATACTTCTCAAGTTTACGTTTATTGAGGAGATGAGAATGGTCCAGACTGATATTACAAGCCTGAAAATGCTCCTGCTGTTCAAGGGGAGACAGAGAGCTTAACTTACATTATAAAGACCAAGAGTGAGGGCGACATGTATGACAAAGTATAAC